TATATACTATATATATTTAATTTACTATATATTTAACTACATATATATAATTTACTACATATATATAATTTACTACATTTTTTACTTTCCATATGTACCTATGATAAACTTTAATTGATAAATTAAGAACAGTAAGAAATTAACAATAAAATTATAACAATACACTAATAAAAATTGATTTCTATAGGTAAAGAAATAACTTACTGTACTAAATATATTTTTACCTCAGCTGACCTTGAGTAACTGAAATCACAGAAAACAAAACAGTGGAATAGAGGACTACCGTATTTATATCTAGGTATCTCACTGCAATCTATACTTATTTCTAGTAAGTCTCAAAATAAAATTGTGAACAATGAGATACCACCTTACACCAGTGAGAGTGGCACATCTTAAAACAACTAGCAACAACAAAGGATGTGGATATGGAGAAAAAGGAACTTTCCTGCACTGCTGGTGGAAATGCAAACTAGTACAACCACTATGGAAAACTGTTTGGAGGTTCCTCAAACTGCTAAACATGGAGCTTCTACCCAGCAATCCTACTCCTAGGTATCTACCCAAAAGACACAAAAACACTGATTCAAAAAGACACCTTCACCCCCATGTTTATTGCTGCTTTATTTACAATTGGAAAGACATGAAATCAACCCAAATGCCCAAAAACAGATGACTGGATTAAAAAGATGTGGTACTTATACACAATGGAATATTACTCAGAAATCAATAAAGATAAACTCACGCCTTTTGCAGCAACATGGATGGAGCGGGAAGGGATCATGCTTAGTGAAATAAGCCAGAAAGAAAAAGAAAAACACTGGATGGTCTCACTGATAGCAGGAGCATAAAGGACTGGATAGGGGCAGAGGGAGAATAATAATAACAATGAACAATGATACCCCAGAGACATTTTACAGGGGTGGAGTGCAGAATGCTATCAAAAATGGGAAGGGAAGTACATAGGACTATGGTGATGGCACACGGATGATTTGGTGATGGGAAGCCCACAGGGATTACAACTGAGATGGAAAAGGGAACAAAATGATGTAAAAATAAACTATTATAATTTTAAAAAATGTGAAAATGAAAAGTTAGTATAAATTTTTTAGAATCATATCATAAAATCAATAACTAAGACTTGGACTGACTTGTTTTTATTTTGTAATGATTCCTTGCAAGAAAGTCAATTTTACACTGTTGTGTTCTTATAAATTTTAGTGTATTTTTTAAGTAACCAAGAAACCTTTTTTCTCTGTTATCTAATTTCATAAATTTAGAAATAAGACAAATCTGTTAAATTAGCAGTAACTCTCAAAATCAGGAGAGGAAAAAAACTCTATACAATCTAAGCTAATGTGCCCCCTGAAGTCTAAGTTTCTTTTCAGGAGTAAAGAGACTCCGCAAGCCTTACAGCTGGATTGAGCCCTGTGCTTGCTGCCATAGAAACACTTGTTGATGGCTGGCTGCCCCGCTGTGCAATGTAGCCCTGAAGTAACACCAGTGACACATCTATGATGGCGTTGGCAGGGCAGCAGTATCTGAATCATTTATTTTGTCCTTTACAAAACTGATGTCCAGATACATTTATCTAGCCATAAAATGTTTTTCAAAGTGCTTGGCTGGTTACAAGGATCTTGCATTTTAAAAGCAAAAAGAAGGAAAAAACCATTCTGCAGGAATAAGTGAATGACGCCAGGCAGCATTCCTAAGAGCTAAGTCATTGGGTTACTTCCACACATACTGGAGAGGGCAGTCTAGGCACTTGGAAACTTCCATGGTTTCTGAAAGGTCATCAAGCCTGAGAGGCATTGTTGTGTTGTGGATTCTGAGTTCCCAGTTTCTTGACCTGGGTACAGTTTTCAGTCACCTCTGCCTAAAGCAGTTGAATTTTTCATATGGAGTTTAAGGACTCCTGTGTTTCTGCTATGATAATGAATAGCAGTTTGGTCAATTCTATTCGTTTCATTCTTCGTTTCTTTCATTGATTCTTATAAAGATTTTTGCAAGAACTGTGTAAGCATCAAAAGCATGCAAACAGTAGCTACATATGCACTGTCTGATGTGGGAACCAAGAACAACACGTCACATGTGTCTATTGAACACTGACTGTGGAGTGTGAAATTAAGATATTTGGTAAGTGTAAAGGAGATACAAGATACAAAAACAAAAAAATCAAACAAAGCCACAAAGACCAGTGGAGTAGAATTGAGAGCCCAGAAATGTGAACCTACATCTATAAGGGCAGTTAAGCTATGAGAAAAGAAGCCACTTAAATCTATAAAACTAGAGCACACAGAACTTCTTCAATAAGTGGTACTGGGCAAACTGGACAGCCCCACACGGCATGAGACTGCTATCATAGCATATATACCAAAATTAACTCAAAATGGATAAAAGACTTGGATGTAAAACTGGAAAGTATAAAATACAGACAAGAAAACATTGGCAAAACACTACATCACACAGGCTTCAAGCAGAAACCTCTTTGGGGCTTTGTCTCCAGTAACAAGGAAAACAAAAGAATGTAAACAATTGAGACTACATCAAACTAAAAAGCTTCTGCACAAGTGAAAGAGACTGTCATGAATAGGAGAAAACATTTGCACACCATACTTCTGAGAAGGAGCTGACATCCAAGATCCACATAGAACCCATATAGCTCAAATAAAAGAAAACAACCCAATTAAAGAATGGCCAGAATAGCTAAATAAGCTCTTCTCTACAGACGATATACAGATGACTAACAGACACATGAAAAAATTATCTATATCACTTATTGCCATGGAAATAGAAGTAAAAACCACAATGAGATACCACCTTACACCTGTGCAAATGGCCCCCATCAAAAAGACCAGAAACAAGTGGTAGGGAGGCTGTAGATTAAAAAAGGACCCTGTTATACTATTGGTGAGCCTGTAACCTGGCCCTGCCCCTATGGAAAACAGTGTGGAGGCTTCGCAAAATATTAAAAATAGATCTACTCTATGACCTGGCAATTCTACTCCTAGGTGTCTACCCAAGAACACACACACACTAATGTGAAGGGAAACCTGCACCCCTATGTCCACTGAAGCACTATTTACAATAGCCAAGCTGTGAGAACAACCTAAATCCCCAAAGACAGAAGAGGATCAAGATGCGGTACATATACACAATGGAATATCACTCAGCTACCAAAAAAGATAAACTCTTGATATTTGCATAACAAGCTGTTTGCAGCTGGAGGGGATTTTGTTAAGCAAAATAAGTCAGCAGGGGAAAGACAATACCAGATGGTGTCACTTATATGTGGAATATAGAGAAACCAAACAAAAGGCCAGCTAGACAAGCTAAGTACTAAGCCTAGAAAGCTGATTATAGAGCTGAGGCTACCATCCGGGCAGTAAGGGCGAGGGCAAGGACAAAGTGGGGAGGAACTCAGTGGACTATGGTGGTGGACGGTGGTGTTCTGGTCATGGGTACAGTCACAACATTTAAAGAGGGAGATTGTATACTTCTAAAATACAATGGAAAGCAATGTTATCTCAAAAAAAAGGTTATTAAAGGGATTAAAAAAGAGAAATGTGATGCAAAGACTTATTACCAAGAAAAAAGTATTTCATAGATAACCTCCTGACTCCCTGACACAGTGATAATATTTGAGTCATTGGGTTAAATATGTTTTTAAAATTAATTTCAGGGCCTCCCTGGTGGCACAAGGGGAGTTCCATCCCCAATCAGGGAGCTACCCACATGGTGCAGCAGACCTCTCCTGTCTCACCAGCTGCTCCCCTCAACATTTCAGCCTATCTGCCTGTTCTGTTCCTGACTCTGTCTCTGGTGAATACTCTCAGTCCCCCACACCTCTGGTCTTACCCAGTTCTTGTATACATAAATAAATAAATCTTAAAAAAAAAAACAAAACTAGTTTCACCTATGCCTTTTCATAATGGCTACTAGAAAAGTTTTAATTACATATGTGGTTTTCATATTTCTATTGGGCAGTGATGGTATAGTGATGGAATATCCATTACAAATAACCAGTAAACTTCAAAAATCAATGCACTGCTCCCGTAAAATGTTTTGGTATATAACAAAGATTTGAAACATTCCATTATCTCTTTTCCCTAGCGATAGGTAGTTTTAATACTTGCAATGTAAGATTTTAAGTGCCTCCACAATATTCTACTTACACCATATAGCTTTGCGGTTTCCTTTCCAGTGAGTTTTTTTCCAAGTAATGAGCTAAGTAGTATAATAATGCCATGAGGAAGTTGTCAAGATACTTATTCCTTTGGAGAGATTTAAAAAAAAAAAAGAAAGAAAAGAAATTAACATTAACGTATTTCAAACATAAAGCTTCTCATAAAAAAATTTATGTGTGACAAAATGAGCTTTGCTGGTAGTGTAGTGTAGTAACAGCACCTGAAAGAGGAGACCCTAACTTCCAAAACATAAGCAAACTGATGTTACCCTATAAAATAAAATGAATTTTAAAATACGTGGGCACAACATAAGAATAAGGCAAAGTACAAGTTCTATTATACCTGCCTATCACACAACTAAATACATCATTTAAAATCTAGCTACTGTACTGTTGAATGTGAGAAATTTGAATTTTGTAAACATTTTTTGGAGGTTATACATTAAATGATTATAGTTTGGCTTATCAACTGACAGTGTTAAATTTTATTATGCAAGTAATATTTTTCCACTGTTTAAAAGCTGTACACAAGTTTAAGTAAAAATATCTCCCTCTCATCCTGTTGTGACCATCTTATTCCCAAGCTGTATGTAGCCATTGTTAAGAGTTTGATTTCCTAAAATTTCTAAAGCATAGTCAACCACATATAAGATCCTCCCCTATGAACACACTTTACTGCATATGAATATCTGTCTTCAAATTTCATGGGTGTGGGAGACTCCCTGGTGGCAGAGCAGGTTAAAGGGCAGCACCATGCAGCTGTCCACAGCCATTGCGGCACATGGGGGTAGGGGTAGCCCATAGGATAATGCTGTGTTCACAGCCTTTGCAATTTGCCTTTGTCACTTACCTGTACATTATGTACTCTGCCAAATGTTCCCCCTTCTTTTAAACAACTGGATAAAATATTCTCTATCTCATACTTAACTAGCCCTCTATTGACTGATAGTTAGATCTTCTAAAAATACTACAGACAGTGCTGCAATAATTTTCTTTAAAGCCAAATCACTGAGTAACTTCCTAAAAGTGAAATTGAAGTATATATGGATATTAAAGTTTCATTAAGTCCTGCTCTCTAAAAATACTGCTAATTGATGATCCTCTTTTTTTTTTTTTTAAACTAGAAGACATTGTATTCTTTCTAAAAAGTTTTAGAAGATGTTTGCTGTTTCCTTTCTAGCTCGCAATGGAAATTCTTACTCTGATGAGCTTCCTGAACTATATATACCTTAAGGTGAGCATAGCAGATTTTTCTCAAGATAGTAATAACTACCATCTGGGTTGAGTTCTCTCAACCCAGCAGACTCAAAGACAAAGACTTGAGAGTAAGTGGTTTACTTGGGAAATGATCCCAGGAAAATAAGTAGGGAGTGGGGCAGTGAGCTGGGAAATGAGAGTATTCCACTTAAATTAGTTTAGTTATCACTGTTGACAAATGTAGCTCAATCCTGTGGGGGGCTCTGGGACCCAGTAGAGAAAACTCTCAGAGTTGTCCCAACAGATGGAAGCTGAGATATTTATCTACCAAATTTCCCTTCTGCACAGCACTGACTAAAGGCTGCTTCTGGGGCACGAATGCCCTAGTGCCCCCAGCTTGCCCTGTAGGGCAGGCTGAGTGTGCTGCCACCACCAGGGAGTAATGTTTCAGGCAGAGAATCTCAAGTATTTGCCATCAGCAGCCTTCACGGAATGCTCATGGGATGTGCCAGGGCTGTCAACAATGGGCACCTTGCAGTCACTGAGCATTCATGGTGCAGGTAACGTATGAGATCTTCCACACACAGCAGCAAGGAGACCCACTGCTTCCAATTTTGTATCTGAGGAAAATGAATCTTAGACATGTCACGAGGCTCACCTAGTACCTGTTGGATCTGCCAAACATAGCTAGAAGAGAAAACTTGTCTTCTAGTTATGTTTGTCTTCAGCAAATAGACATCTTTATTATAGTATATATAGATATGTCTATATAGATAAACATTTATGTAATGGGATTCTGAAAGTCTGCTCTCCGTACTCCATGTTCTGAGACTTTATTTGGGGTCCCTGTGCCTTCTGGTTTCCTCCCTTTAGTCTCAGCCTTTGAGACTGAATCTTGCAAGAATGGTCTAAGAAAGGCCTGCTTCCCATTTTTTTTTTTTGGCCCTTACATCAAAAAACAACAACAGGGGCCTCCCTGGTGGCGCAGCGGGTTAAAGCACAGCACTAAGAAGCTAAAGCCACTTCAGCATGAGTTCCATCCCCGCCTGCCCTGGAGGAGATCCATATGGCATGGCAGACCTCTCCTGACCCGCCCACTACTCCCCTCAGCAGTGTACTTCATCGCTTTGCCTGTTCTGCTCCCCACTCTGTTTCTAGTGAATGCTCTCAACGCCCCTGCACCTCTGGCCTGTACCCCAGTTCTGTATGCACAAATAAATAAAATCTTTTAAAAAAAAACAAAAAACAACCCCCACACACACACACATACCAGATTCGTCATCATTTACCAGATGGAATTATCTCAAAATAAAGAATAGAGGATCTAAATGTCTCAGAAGCATCACATACCTCATAAATGTTGTAAAAGAACAGACCCGCTGCATCTCAGTATCTTGTAGCAAAAGCAAAGCAACAACTGAAAGCAGAAAAGATGGACAATTGAAAAAAGGCCTGGGAGCCGGTTGGTGGTGCACACTAGATAACATAAGAATGAGGAAATGGTCACTCACACTTAGCATCGTGTAGCGTAACGTTGCCTTGCTGACTGCGTTTCTCTGAGGCTTTCAGTGACTTATCGTCTCTTGAAGTGAACCTTTTATCTGTCAATCTGTTTTGGAACACACGGAAAGGTTTTGGTTGTATTTACTCTATTCTAAGATGAAGCTTTTACTACAAAGCAGTGAGCGCCTGAATGTCAGGCATGAGTTTCATTTCAGGCAGGATTGTTTCAGAATGCGTTTTATTCAACGTTGTTATTTACTGGGCTGGGGGTAAGAGGCATGCATACTGCCTGACATAAAATCTAAACACCAACTTCAGCTAAAATGGAGCACTTAAAAAAATCTATTTGTGGTGGAGCTGCCATTTTCAGTTATTAAAGTACTAAAACCTGAAATTTTGCTAATAGCCAAGTTACCACAGGGATACATTTATAGGGACTCCGAGAACCCCGACCACAACTGTGGAATGGTACGTGTTCCTACTGTGATGGGCATTCGTACTTCCCTCTTGGACAATGGGAGGATATTTTCTCACGTCTGTAAAGGTGTAAGCCATTCTGTGGAAGAGGTGCCTGTGCAACATTGCCCTGCTGGGAACGGTAAGCTACCTCTCTGAAGCTGGGCCATCAATTTCAGCAAAGTGAACTGCTTTGCCTTTCTTTCCTTTTTCCTTGGGCTCTACTGCAGGTGTAAAACTGTAACAGAAATGTGAAAATTAGGAAATTAATCTTTTCCAGGGAAAAAGTAATCCTGGGCCCTCCCTGGTGGCGCAGCTGGTAAGGACGTAGCGCTGCAAGCTGGCAGCAGCTACCTCAGTGCACGTTGGACCCCCAGCCCCGGAGGTGACCCACGTGGCGCGGCAGACCTCTCCTGACCTGCCCGCAGCTTCCCTCAGCAGTGTATTTCAGTAGATCTGCCTGTTCTGCTCCCCACTCTGTCTCTGGTGAATCCTCACACCACCCCTGCACCTGTGGCCTGTACCCCATTTCTGTATGCATAAATAAATCAATCTTTAAAAAAAAAAAGTAAAAGTAATCATATAGTGACCATAACCTGTGTAACCTCAGCAGCAGCATTTATGAAGAGAGGGGTCTGAAGAGAACTGGAGGCACAGTAGTACCTAATCCATGTATTTACATATGGGACAAGTACCCAGAAAAAGGGTGGCTCATTTCAGGGTTTGCATTCAGCCTCTATTTCTCTGCAGGATGCTAGTACACACACAACACTCCCACCTGAAAATGTTGCAGTAACTTCACAGCAAACAGAACACTCGTGATCAGTTTGGACTTTCTGATTCACGCACACCTGTCATGCACCAGGAGCTTTTAAGCACCATCTCATTTAAATCCCCACAGCAACTCCAGGAGGAAAACCACACAATTATTACCATTCCTACATATGAGAAAAGCTGAAGCTCAGAAAAAGATGAAGTAACTTGGCCAAGATCGCTTAGCAAGTGCCGAGGCCAGGTCGGCGCCCAGGTCCGCCAGCCACCGTCATGTGCCCAACCATGAGGCACCCTGCCTTCTGAGCAGCCATCCCTGTCGTCACTGCCACGCCAGCACTGGGCAAGACTTAAACATCCCATTCATCACCTCTTGGCCCACCTGTGCTTTCCTTAGCACCCGACGTTGCTGACCCCTCCCCACTCCCATTTTCTTTGTCAGAAAACCTTCCATTACTTGTAAGCCTGTGCATCCCCGGGTTTTTCTTCCCACCCTCCCAGTATACTTCCTCTATGGCCAGTCCCTCTCTCTTGGCCTTTCCCCTCTTCCTGAGCATACGAGGAGACCTATCAAAACCTTAAAATATACACACTGATTGAGGGATTCATCAAGCCAACTGTCATGAATGACTACTTGGCTCCTCACTGAACAAATTTTATAAAAATATTAGACAACAGGGCCCTCCTAGTGGCACAAGGGGTTAAAGGCAGATCTGTGAAGCTATCCGCAGCCACTGCAGCATGAGTCCAATCCCCAGCTAAGGAGCTGACCCACACGGCGCAGCTGACGTCTCCTGACCCACCGACTGCTCCCCTCAGCAGTGTGTTTCAGTAGTTCTGCTCCTCACTCTGTCGCTGGTGAATCTTCTCACCTCCCTCCACACACCTCTGGCCTGTACCCCAGTTCTTGTACGCATAGATAAATAAATCTTCAAAAATGAAATTCAACTTAAAAAAAAAAAAACTAAACAGGAGACATGTGAGTACCAGCTGAGCATGTGATACCGTGAAACAGCTATACAGCTATTTATAGCTTTAGGCGAATAAATTGAGGTATGGTGTTTAAGAGAGAGCTTCCTTTTTTTTAAAATACAGATATATTTGTAGCTGAAATGGCACTGTGTCTGGGATTTGCTTCCAAATAATCAAGGGGGAGAGTAGATGGGGACACAGATGAAATGAATTTGACCTAAATTTGGTAACTGTTGAATGCTTTGTTATGGGTACAATGAGGTTACACCAGTTCCCTAATTTCATATGTATATGATTGAACTGTTCCAATATGAAAAGTTAATTTAATTTTTTAAAAATAAATCTGTAAGGAAAAAAAAAAGTAGCAACTAAATCAGACCTGCAAAGATTTTAGATAATTGGAATTATCAGTGACAGGATATAAAATAAATGTAATCTGCATGCTGACCATATACAAAATAAAGAAAATACAAAGTTCACGCTTAACACTTGATGCACTGGGGGTGGAACTGTGGCAGAATATCTTTCCACTTCATACATGTATGTATTTGTTTTTAGTACATATAAACAGTAGGAAAAAAGGTGGAAATCAGGAAATAGTAAGGTAAAAAAATGTGTGTATATATATACACATATAGAAGGAGATTTGGAAAGTTACTTAATAAATGTTAATGTATTAGCAGTTACTCTTGCTTGTAAGTTCTTTTTGTTTTTGTTTAAAGGTATTTTTTTATTTTTAAAAAAGATTTATTTATTGATGCATACAGAACTGGGGTATAGGCCAGAGGTGCAGGGTCAGTGACAGACAGACTGATGAAAGGTGCGGAGGGTGAGAGGATTCACCAGAGATTGAGTGGGGAGCAGAACAGGCAGATCAATTGAAACACACTGCTGAGGGGAGCAGCAGGTGAGACAGGAGAGGTCTGCTGGGCTATGTGGGTCAGCTCCCTGGATGGGGACTGAACTCCATAATGTGGTGGCTAATGATAGCTTCATAATGCTGTGCTTTAACCCTTGTGCCACCAGGGAGGCCCCATTTTTTTTTTTTTATATTTCAAGTGATGTTTTTAAAAATTTATTTCATACTTTAAAAAAATAGGAATATTCCTAGAATTCTGCTTCAACCATGTCACTTCCCACTCTAGTGGTACATAGACCAGCCTCTCTGAATTTTTGATCCTGTAGCCTCACTGATAGTTACCTCCAATTATGTACACCTGAAAAAGTAAACATGGCAGCAGTCCTGCCCACTTGTGTCTATGCAGGTGTTCTTTCCACCAACCCTGTCCATCTGCAAGGCTGCAGCTTCCTGACCTCCCATGACCTACACCATGTCCGGAGTTTTTTCCTCACTGAGCTTCCTCTGCTGAGGCTGCTCTCCTGAAGGCCATGAGCCTGTGGCTATGCAGCCCCTCTCAGAAATCCTGTCCCATTGAGGGCAGCTCTTTTTGCCTGTGATCTATACAAATGTCTTTTACTCTTCTGTCCCTTTTTCTAATGAATGCTCTTTTAAATATTAAAAAAAAAAAAGTAAACATGTTGCCTTTTACCCCCTCCACAAATTGAGCCTTTCTATGTCAAAGGATACTACCATCCTCTACTTAATGAAAAGGACATTCATGAGTTTAATAGGTGGTGAGAAACACCACAGACAGTTTGGGGATTACACAGACAAGATAATCACAAGTGTCAACATATATGCTAAAACTACAAGAGGATGTGAGGATAAATTTTAACTGCCGGCCCTCCCAGCACTAAAAAGCTAAAGCCACTTCAGCATGAATTTGATCCCTATTCCAGAGGTGACCCACATGAGGTGATCCACATGGTGCGGCAGACCTCTCCTGACCGGCCAACCTCTCCTGACCGGCCAACCTCTCCTGACCGGCCCACCGCACCCCTCAGCAGTGTATTTCAGTCAGTCAACCTGTTCTGCTCCCTACTCTGTCTCTGGTGAATCCTCTCACTGTCCCTGCACCTCTGGCCTGTACCCCCATTCTGTATGTATAAATAAATAAATCTTAAAAAAAATTTTTAGGCCCTCCCTGGTGGCACAGCGGGTTAAAGCACTGCACTGAGAAGCTAAAGCCACTTCC